CGGGGGGTGCCCACAGCATGGGGACACGGCAGGAGAAATGAACCCGGACAGCCAGCGCTGTGGGGTCATCTTCCACCCAGTGGCTGGGGATGATGTCTGGCGAGGCATCCCCTGCCCCACGTCCCTGATGGTGGGACGGCCAGATTTCCACCGGCACATCCTTGCGGCCACCAGCTCAGGCTTTGGCAGGTCACAGTGATACAGCTCCAGCACAGCCACTGCTTTGGGTAGATGTCAACACACCTTCACCAGGACCTCGAGGTCCCACAGGTGTGGACGGAGCATTTCTCCACCCCCTCCATGCTCTTATGGGGCTTATGGGGTCCTCACTCAGCCCAGTCCTGCCTGGCATGACCCAGCCTCCCCGGCCAAGGTGCACAGGCCAGCTGCGAAGGGGTTCCCCTTGATTTGGCTGGACCCTGCAAGAAGTGCCTGCACCCTCTGAGCTGGTCCTTCACCCTACGTACATCCCTGCAGGGCAAAAAGCTATTTAAGGTGGGATGGGGTGGGACAGGGCAGACTGACCTGCGCAGGCATAGAGGCAGCAGGTCAGCAGGACGGATGCCACGAAGCAGCCTGTCGAGCCAGCCATCCCCAGCCAGCACGACCACCCGAAGTCGTAGTGGACTCCCAGGAATATATTGTGCGACACCAGCATGGATCTCTCCAGGTAGACGTCCACCGCATACCACACAGAGCCCACAAGACCCAGGATGCCTAGGAGGAACGGGGCCGGTTAAGAAAGAGCCATACAACCCCCCCCATGCCCACCAAGACCTCTCTGAGGAGGTGCCCTTAGCTCCCGGCATCTCCCCAGCTTCCCATGGGCCACAAGGTCCATCTGCTCCCTGAGCTCTCCCAGCCACGCACTCCCGATGCTGAGGATGACACCGGCCCCGTAGCACATCTTCAGTTTGACACGAGGCTCTTCCTGGAGGAACTTGATGCAGTCGAGCCCAAGGAGCAACGTAGCCAAAGCCAGGCCAGCCAGGAGGTCTGCTGTGATCAGCAGGGTCCGCGTCACCACGATCTTCACTGGGCAGGGAAGGAAGAAAAAAAAAAACAGAAAGGGGACTGAGGAATGGTCAGAGGAACTGGTGTCCCCACTCCAGACTGCTGCCTGTGTCCCTGCTAGAGTCGTCCAGCTCACCAGTGGGCATGTCCATAGGAGAGATCTACGTTGGGACCCACCAACCCCCCGCCTGCCATGTGCTGTAGCCAAGGTGCTCATCAGGCTCATCTGAAACCTTGCAACAGGACTTAACAAGCCCGTTATTAGACCAGCTCAAGAAAACAAACAACTTAAGGTGCGCCAGTGAGCACTTGGGATGTGGTCACCTACTCAAGACTTTCTTCCACAGGCTTGGACAGAGGATGCCGCTGTCCAGACTGTTTTTTCCTCCAAGTTGTGTAGCTGGAGTTTTGAACAGCAAATGTCAACGTACCACTGAAAAATATGAGAGCTGGCACGCTTCACATCACCAGCTGGGTGCAACGTGACTTCTCGTTACAAAGCTTTTCCCCCAGAGCAGCACAACAGCCTGACTTAGTCCATGCTGACTTCTTGTTCCCTTCTCCACTGTGCGAATCTGTACTGTCCCATGCCATCACCCTATACGAGGGTTCTTCTGTGCAGGGCCTGATGTGCCCTGTGCAGGCCAGGAGAAGTCTCCATACCACGAGATGACTGTCCGTGAGCTGAGGACACAAGACCTTGGCCAGTGGGAATGGTCCTCACCCCTGCATGCAACATCAGTGGGGCTGCAAATCCCACCATGCAATGGGGCGTAGGAGCTGCACCTGGGCTCTGTGTGCCAAAACAGATTTGTTGTGAGGTGGCACAGCTTCATGGCCTCTCTCCTGCTCGGTGACCCAATGGCAGATCTGGCTGGCCCATGGGTTGCTGTCCAGGCCATGTTGATGGGGCAGGAGACCAAGAGAAGCCCGGGGCCTGCCTTGCTAACTGATGAAGGTCAGCCCTTTGCAACGAGGATCATCTTCTCGAAAAGGGAAGAAGGAAAACTCTTAGCTGTGAACTTAAAAAATGCCTCCGGGCCATGCCAGCTTACCTGGATGGTCTGCCAAAATGGAGTCGTACTGGTCACAGGTTCTGACCCCGTCCTGCATGTTGGTGACACACTCCCTCCAAAGCCCCCGGCATTTGTGACTTACCTGGAAGCAGGAGAAAGACACTCAAGCAAAAAGCACCAAAAAGCACCCCAGCTCCCCAGGGAAATCCCAGCCCAGCAAGGCAGATCTTCAGGCTCTCGCCACCACAGCTGGACACGTCCCAGTGACTCCCTACCCATGCCTTGCTCTCTGTCTCCTCCTTCTGCTCCAGCATTTCTCTGTATCTCTAATCCTCTCATCTTCCAACTCATGCAGAAAGCAGTGGGTTTGTCCCACCATGTCCCCTTTCCAAGCCCGTGGAGACATGGTGCAACCCCATGGATGTCAAGGTACCCACCTTGCTCCCAGCTGCTAACCTTGAAGATGGTTGCTCTGCTCACCTCCAAGCTGTCATCAGCGTTCACCATCCAGCAGTCAGTGCATGTGGCAAGGAGCAGGAAGAGGGTTGAGAGAAGAGCAAGACCGAATGCCGTCATCTGCAAGGCTGTGCTGCTCATGGGGTTACCTGCAAGGGCACAGAGACATCTGCCACTTCTGCTCTGGCCACTTCCCAGGTACCTGATCCATCAAGGACAAAGTGCCACCTAGGCCAGGGTGTTCTCTGCATCCCTATGAGTCATCTGGGGCCCATCTCGTGGTCCTCAGTGCTGCCAACATGCTCTAATACCCTCAGCTGAGGTTGGGCCACCAGGTTTTCATGTAGACAGGGCCTTCAGAGGTACATTAATTTTGCAGTGGAGGCATACCCATATCGCATTGCTCTCTAGATGTCCTCTCTTCCAAATAGACCATCTGAAGTTGCCAACCATTAGTACTTGCCTTTTGGGAATCAAGAGCTGCTGGAAAACATCGTTAAACAACTGCTGTTGTCAAAGTCTGTGATCTGAGCATGTGTCTCCTGATATCCCGAGGTTTTCTTGGTGCCTCCATCCCCATATCCATGTGATTCGGTGGGAAGATCACCCGCCTTTTCTTGCTTTTTTTTGACGGAAAAAAGCCCAGGAGTGTTGAAACATCCAGGCTGGAGCACAAGCAAGTGTCCCGTGGAGATGTTCTAATCTCAAGCGGCAAGCCCAAAGAAAGCATGTCCCATTATGGAGGTGGGTGATGGCTGCTGCGGCTTGATGTGGGTGCCCTTGGGTGCTGCCGAGGCTTTCCAAAGACCAGAAGGGATGGGACCATCTGTTTTCCATCCTTGCCAGAGATGGAGGGACCTTGCGGAGAGGGGAGCTATGCCCGAGGTATGGAGCAGAGGATATTGTATCTCCACAGCCTGGCCACGAATCCCGCTTTGCTGTGTTTTGCAACTCAAGATGCTAAATATTTTAGCACCTGAAGTTGCAACCACTGCGACAGCCCTTTGGGCAGAGGGGTTCCCATGAGTGGGTTAATCGATGAGACCGGATGGGTGTCTGAGCTGCATGGGTTAATTATCGTGAGGTGATGACTCTTCACCACGGCAGAGTTTGTGACCTTCAGCCAGATGCTGCCCACCCTGGCATGGCGCAGGCTTCCCCGCGGGGCGGAGGTAGGAAGGAGGGTCACGGTTCCCACACCCTGTGTGCAAGACCTTCCACCACGTCCCCCCTTGGGACGCCTCTGGGAGCTGAGGTACCACTCACCCTGTCCCTTCGGGCATTTCCATCAGCTTCACTCTGAGAGTTTACGTTATTAACAGGCAGCCTCTCAGACCCCAATTTACAATATTTTTTAATTTCCCAGGCTCCCTTCTGAGCTAACTCTCCATAACCTTATTTTTTTCCACTAGACCCTGGCTGTTTTGGAGCCTTTGAAGAAAATCTGTTCAGCCATTTGAGTTATATGAGCAAGAAAAAAAAAAAAGAAAAGAAAGAAATCCTGAACCCTGGCAAAACCCAGCTTTGAACCCTGTTAGCAATAAAAAGGGGCTCGGGGGGGAGCGTTACCTTCACCGCAGGCTCATCCTTGCTGGGGTGGGACGATGGCAAAAGCTTTTTGTCGCTGATGACTGGGGCTGGGGACGTGGGTCTTGAAGGCTTTCAAGTGTTGATGGGATTTGATCCTGACCCGACTGATGGAGTCGGGGAAATGCAACGCCTGCCGGAGCCTGTGCTGGGCTATTTAAGGTTTTTCCAAGGCACGTCAGATGGGCTTTGTGCTCCAAGGCGTGATGGGCATCCCTGCGGTTAAAACGGTAATAGGTTGGAAATGGAGCCTCCCCAAAAAAATATCACGTGGGGAGACCTGTGGGAACCCGCTGGGAACACTCCCTAGGTGGGGGACTCTGTGTTCCGGGCGAATATCCCACATTTTTTAATTAGACCTTTTAATTACTGCCTAGGAGTGGGTGGCCTAAGATACCTTGGGTCCCCAGGACTGGTGCAAGAGAGTTAGAGGGGTGGAGGTGGCTGGAGAAAGAAGCTAAAATGCAAGGAGGATAATTAAAACCCTTTGGTCAGGCATGCAGCCAATAATTAGGACCCTTTTTTTTTTCCCCCCCATTAAGTGGAAAACAAGTGATTTTGTTCTGCAGCGGTTATGGCTCACATAGCGTGCTCGGGCAGCCGCCGGGGAG